CTGCAGATTAACTAGGGTGATCCGTTAAAGTTGTGAAAATTGTTCCATTTCTCAAATTACCTAGATAATGTGCAGAGTATCTAGGTAATCCGCACATTACCTACTAGGCACTCGGTAAAGTGAAAATAAGATCTTTGCCACAAATAAATGTACCACGAATAAGTGTGCTTGTCGCAAAAACTAATTGCTATGAAATTGAAAGCGTCACCAATCTTTAGACTGCACTAATAAGTAAGCACAATTGGATAATGTTACCTATGGTGAGTAAACTGGCGGCTCGTCTCTGATTCCAGCAAAGATAAGAAAGGAAACTGGGGACGCACGTTCAAACCTAACCTAACCTATTCTAATAATTTGGTTGGTAATAATTATGGTAATTTATTAGACTAGGTTATGTTAGGTTAGAACGTGCGTCTCCACTGTTTCCTTTCTTCTGTTTGCTGGAATCAAAGACGACCCATTTTACTTACCATAGGTAACATTAACTGCACAATTGTATCATACGATCACCAGAAAAAGTATGATAAATTTATTATTTTTCGTCTCCAGTTTAAAAGTAGGATATCGTTGAAGTCGTCACTGTCCCCTCAATTCAGATAGATACTCAAAGTCCCGAAATTCCATAGGTGGTTATCTACATAATAATTTCCTTAATTGTATTAATATTTTAAATCGTTTAATTTTTTGTATGATTTTTAATTGGTTGATGATTGATTCTATCAACTGATTTGTTGATTGTTTGATTGTATTAACTTGATTCTTTAGATATGGAAAATTAAATAAAGAACACTATGTTAATTTAACCGTACAGAAACGTTGCTGTTGTTCCAGCAAAGATCTTATTTTCACTTTACCGAGTGCCTAGTAGATAATTTGAGGATTACCTAGATCAGTGGTTTCCAATTACTTTTTCCTGTGTACCACTTCAAGAAAGAGCTCAAACTCGCGTACCCCTTATAGCAGAAATTTATATTAATCCATACTAATATTATAAATTCGAAGGTAATTCTGTCTGTCAACTTTTCACGTCTAAACCGCCGAACAGGTTTTAATAAAATATGGCACGGAGATAGCTTACACGTTGGAGATAGACATAGGCTACATTTTACTGCGAGAAAATATCTTACTCCCACGAGAAAATTCGATATAATGCGGGCGAAGCCGTGGGTAGACAGCTAGTGATAAATAAAATAAGTTTGTTTTTACATTTATTACATACATTTATTACCTCTAAAATACAATTCTAATAATAATGAAAATAACATAAGGTTATTTAATTTTAATGCGACAAATGTGCACGATTTTCTTTGCGCAACTTTGTAAAATCTGGTTGCTTTTTGGTTAGCTTCAGTCTCAAGTCATCTTCGACGATGTTTAGTTTTGAGGTTTGTCATGGCCGAAAATCCGCTCTAGCAGAGTTAGCAGATAATAATAATTGTACAATTGTACAATTATCATCATTAACACAAATTGTGTTAATTGTACAATTTTTGTTTCTTGCGTAAGAATTTCATTTAGGTATCGTCACAAATGCATTTTTTAAATGAAATTTCAAGAATATTTTTAGTTATAAATAAACGAATTTGCGCATTCGACATCGTGTTGTAAATTTCCGAATTTTTGATGGTCCACCCATTACACGGGTCTGCAAGTAAAAAACTGCATAGGATTTTTATACATTTTCTTACAGATTTCAACTTGGTAAAAACGAAAAAAATACCAAAAAAATTCCATCTCGTCAAATTTTTTGTTACACTCAAGTTTTTGTTTGTATTTAGCGTAAAATTCCTAGTTAACTTAAAATTTACTATTTTTTTTATTTAAAAAATAGCCTTAAAACGAAGACTTCTCACATTAATTCTATCAATTATAGCTGGACTTGGTAATAAATAATTAAAAATGTTAATGGTAGAAGAGAGTAGTGGTAGGGGGAGGTGTGTTTAGTACTTTTAGCGTTAGAAGGAAGGTTGCATGATCGTATAGAAACAGGTTAAAAGTTGATAGTGAGTAGTATTATTGGTGAGATTGAGCATGTTTTGACATGTTATCCGAAATACTAGGAATAAATATAAGCAACCTGCTGTTGGATTAGATCAGGTTTCAACAAGCTAAATAAGTTCAGTATCTTGCTGGCCATCTAATGCCACACTCAGTTTATATCAGCATTCGAACGCTACTTCGATTGTATTTTTATTTCTGGAATACGGCTCGCAGAGGTTGCGTAATTTCTCCCGACAGCTTCTGTTATGTTTTTGGTGAATACGCAGTGAAAAGTCAACAAGGAAACATAAGTGAATTTGTGAAGAAAGTTTAATTTGCATATTTCAAATTGAAACTTGAAGATCGAGACAAAGCAGATTTCTGGAAACAATAGGAGAAAAGGAAAAAGAAGCATGGGACTCTCAAAAATGTAGTGCATAAGTTTTGGGGGAATACTAAGGACCCTGACTACAAAACCATTGTACAACGCATGCTGATAGCAGCGTATGAAGCTCAAGGATTCAAGATGAGCTTAAAAGTTCACTTCTTACATTCCCATATTGACTATTTTCCCGAAAACTTTGGAGCCTACAATGAAGAACATTGTAAAAGATTTCACCAGGATGTCCGTGATATCGAGAGACGTTACCAAGGAAAATGCGATGTCAATATGTTAGCTGGCTACTGTTAGATGCTCAATCGAGAAACCAGAGAAAGAAATTGGAAACGAGTTTGGAGGAGCATCAAAAAGAAGAAAAGGTTTCATAAGAAAAAAAAGTAGGCCTAAAATTGTGTATAATATCAGAAAGAATTTGTTGATTAGTTGTAAGAAAATATAATATATTTAGTTCATGGTAATAAATAAGAGTTTTTATCAAAAATTTGTTTTTATTTTGCAAAAAACCTTTACGGGATGGGATGTAAAGGAAGTTATTTTTAGAATCTGTGATCTTTAAAACAGCAATTCAGCAAAAATATTCCATGCAGCTGGGAAAAAAATTTTTTTTTGCAGACCTGTGATATTTACAAAATTATGCAAAACTTTAAGCAATAAATTATTATTGTTTCTTCATGATAGGAAAGTGCAACAATTTCTTGTTAACATAATCGTATGATTGAAATATCACCATCTAAAACCTGATAGTTATATATATTAAAACCAAATGATTGCCAGATTTTAACAAGCTATATTAGTACTACTGTTAATAATTAATTGTATGTAATCTAGAGGTAGGTGTTAGGCATCATAATATTTTAATAATTAATTTAGAAGGTTCTAGAAGAAAAGTTTTGGAAATGAAGATTGGACAAAGATCCTGGTTGCATAACTGGCAATGCCATTGCATGGTTTATGGGAGTTGCAGGTTTATGGGAGTTGCAGGTTCATGTCCTGCATTGACTGATTCTTTTCTTTCAGAACTTTCTAAATTATTAAATTTAGCAAGAGATGGTACCTAACATCTACTGCTAGTTCCAAATTATTTAGCATTTATAAATATGCCAAGTACACTTCTGTTATCATATTTTATTTAAAAATTTTTTTATATTTTTAACTACTATAAAATGGCAAAAAGTTTTATTTTGAGTAGGGATGAGTTTTATAAAAAAATTGTAAATGCTAATAATGAGTAAAATTGTCATTAATCAAATCCTACTGGAGATACACACACAATCCCCATTATCTCCCCAACCCCCAACCTTTAATTTAACACTAAAATTTAATAACATCAATCCCACTAATATACAAACCTACCTGCAAAATTTCAGAAATTTTCAACAAAAAGTGCAGGAGTTATTAAGCTTCAAAGAGGGTGAACAAAATCATGCCCCACACAAGCACAAACATCCACACACACAGAAACTACTACCCGAATCTTTTTGCATTTCTGGACATTTCAAGATGTCCCAAGTCCAAAAATGTAAAAATCTGGAGGATTTTTACATTTTTTGCCGGATTGCCATACTTTCCCCCTGTATAACAGTCAAGAAAGCAAAATGATCAAAATGAACATTTTATTAACTTATTTCTGAAATATGTAAATTTGTAAAGCTGTTTAATAAAATTTTTATTGTTATGTACTCACATAACTAATATGAGAACTTCTAAAACAGTTTTCAATGACACACAAAGCACAATAGAATAAAAACTGAATCAAATATCTGGTGCAATTTTTGATTCTTAAAGTTTTCATTATAAGTAATTGAATTGTTTCATAAATTCATAAGATAGTATATTTTAAAATATTAGCTTACCTCTAAAATTGTTTGTCTCAACAATCTTACAGCTTCATTAACTTGATATGAATCAATACCATGCTCTTCTATTAAATTTTGCAATCCTGAAAGCTTTACCCAATAAATATCTGGAACTCCATCCACAATTAATGATTTATGCTTTGATATCTAAAAAAAAAAAAAAAACAATAAAATAAAATTGTATCCATTTCAATTAATTGTTTATTTAGGAAAACTAATATAAACAACAATAAAAGCCATTCAAAAATTGTATTCTATATAGAATTCAATATAATTAATAAAATGATGTTTAACCAGCAAATGTTCTATTTGCTGGCACATACACATTCTGTATGAAAATTTAAAATGATGTGCAAGCTACAGGTATAAAAACTAAAGCAAATTTTGCACCAAAACATACAAGGACTGATCAAGATATTCAGGACAGAATTTATTGTAAGAAAACAAAAGCAACAAGCAATTATCTGATTTCAAAGTCAAATACTTTTATTTGACTTATGGAACAGTTTTTTTTCTTAAAAAACTGAGTTTTTTTTAAATAAATAAAAAAAACACAATGTTGGCTAATAACATGTAATTTTATGATATGCCTCTTATAAAATGGTTAAAAGAGGCATAACATAAAATTACATGTTATTAGTCAACATTGTGTCTTTTTTATTTAAAAAACACTATGTTTTCTAAGCGATTTATTGTGACATAGTCACAATGCTGAGTTGCAATTTTTTAATTGTGATGCACAATGCTCTTGATATTAGTATCTTGCCACTGTACAAGATACTTTTCCTGTTAATGAAAGTCATGCCAGTCATCTATCTAACTTGCTCCCAGAAAAAGTTTTTTGAATTTAAACAACATGACTTAAGTCCAAATTAGAATTTCATATATAGTTCATCAGAACCTCTGGCTCCTAAGCTTTCCACATCTAGTCTTGACTTTCATCTATCTAACTCCGTTCTCAAGATTAAGGAAGGACAGAAGACAGACACAAGTAGGAATTTATAGGTCTGCAATTTTAAAATTGCAGCCCAATTACTGGGTCACTGGAAGTTATCTCCTTAAAAGTACAACTTACCAGATTGTATACAGCAATTCCAGCAATCCTTCAACTTTTCCATGCATGTCCAATAGGCCTGTAAGTTACAAGAAGTCAAATCTGGTGAGTATGGAGAGTGGGGACTGTAGGGATGCTGTGCTTGGTCAAAAATTCTGACTCTCAGAGCTGCATGGCACAGTGCATTGTTAAGGCGCAGAAACAAATTACCAGAAGATCATTTGTACAGGCATTACCAACAATCTGCATCTCTAAAGCATTGCAAAACAGTTCTGTAACCAATATGACAATCAACAGTCTCATTAATTCATGTTCTTGATCAGCCTGTGTATGGGTCATCATTAGTTAAAGTGAAGCCATTTCTGATATATGAACACTACTCAAATGTTTTGGACTGACAAAGCACCATTTCCAGATGCTTGTTGAAACATTTTGTAAATTTTGGTGACCATCTTACCAAGTTTCCAGAAAAATTTGATGCAAAAATGTTGCTCATTCAACTTGTCCATTTCACAAGACAGAGAAACATATGCCTGCATTGAAGCTCAACCCATTGACAATTGAGGCATGCTGCCACCTGCTACTCTGATACATGGCATTAAGAGATAGTCAAATATCCTGCATGGTTACTACATTGTTATTAGCAGAGTCAATAGATTACCTAGTCACCAACTGCAAGCAGAAAAGTAGTGGAAATAACTGCATTGGCTGCTAGGGGTGCTTTGAACATTTGGGATCTATGACAATGTGAAAACAGTAGAAAGCATTTTATTTTTCAGTCATTTAATCATTTGTCTTTTAGTCATTAGCATTTGTTAATTAATGCATTTAGTTATTAGCATTTAATCTTTATGGCATTTAGTTATTTAGTCATTTAGATTTTATTCATTCAGTAATTGGCAAACATACCAACATGCTTGTTCTGGATGCAATTCCAGATATCCTAATGAAAAAGACAATAAGAGGCATTTTTTTAATGGGCAGTTGATCATTGCTTTCAATATATTTAGGAAAAGTGGATTAAGTACCTTAAAAACAAAAAAATTCAAAATTCAAATGTAAACAACATAACATGTGCATTCATTATGGTAAAACACATGTTCTACTCCTTACCTGTGAGATCGACTTGTTTCTTGGAGACAACTTCGGCTTTTCTCTCTGATGGACATCATTGCTTTTTGGGCACTTTGATGCTTAGATAGGATAGACAATTTGGGAATTTAGATAAAAAAAACATTATTTAAAGAATTCCAGAAAATAATTTGAATGCTAGAGAAAATTCATTCCACGTGAAGAAAAAAATTAATCACAAAGGCTTGTATGTGACAAGTATTTTGAAGATCAATTCTTAATAAAATCATTCAGTCACACAATCAATGGTCAATTAGTGCAAGCTTGCATATGGGACATTGACTCCAAATGTTTTTTTATCTAAATTCCCAAATTGTCTATCCTATCTAAGCATCAAAGTGCTCCAAAAGCAATGATGTCCATCAGAGAGAAAAGCCGAAGTTGTCTCCAAGAAACAAGTCGATCTCACAGGTAAGGAGTAGAACATGTGTTTTACCATAATGAATGCACATGTTATGTTGTTTACATTTGAATTTTGAATTTTTTTGTTTTTAAGGTACTTAGTCCACTTTTCCTAAATATATTGAGAGCAATGATCAACTGCCCAGTACTTGTAATGACAGTGACAGAAGTACAACAATGTACTGTAAGGTCTCATTTTATGCAGTGGATACGTTCTACAGAAAAATGCATATAAAAAATTTGCATAAAAAAAGACTTTACTTGCCTTGAAAAAGTAGGGATACGTTCCGTAATTTTCTAAAATTGCATAAAACCAAAACAACGAGTGAAAATTAACTTAAAACCGCATAAAAAAGTTTGCAGNTCTACAGAAAAACGCATATAAAAAATTTGCATAAAAAAAGACTTTACTTGCCTTGAAAAAGTAGGGATACGTTCCGTAATTTTCTAAAATTGCATAAAACCAAAACAACGAGTGAAAATTAACTTAAAACCGCATAAAAAAGTTTGCAGAAATTAAAAGAAATAGTCTGCTTAATAAATTACTACGAATGTCTGAAAGAAATTCATATAAAAACTTAAAATAAACTTGTATTCAAACTCAATTCAGTTTATTTTATTCAAAAGTAATACAAGGGGAATCCCCAAATTGCAAAAGCTCACTCTAAAAACAAATCACTGACATCTGGATGTAAAGAGTTAATTAAAATTTTAATTAATTAATTTGAAATTTTTTTTGAATTTTTGGAATGTTTTTTAAATCTCCAAATTTTTTAAAAATATTTAAAAATATACGGCCAGCTAGTGTTCACCCTACTTTAAACCCTTGTCCTCCCGCAACATCTATGAGAATGCCCCAGGAAATCCTACTCCAGCTGTGTTCAAGGTCATCCAGATGTGTAAACAATGACTCATCAGTGTTAAATTTCACAGAAGGGCGAGACAAAGGAAGTTAAACTTTGAAGCTTTTTCTTCAAAACTAACGCATTTCTTTTGTTTTTTTCAGTTTTAAGTATTTTTTATGTTTAATTACATTTATATCAAAAATTGCTAGGAACTAAAGCGATTAAGGTAGATCTAGCTGTCGTTTACATTCATAAACGTTATATGTCAGTGGAACAAATGGAGTGAGCTTTGAGCGTTCCACGATTTTTGGAGACTGTCTATATGCGGGCTTCCTAAACAAACCTATATGTATGTTTGTCCAATAAATTTTTGGATGAAATACAAACCGCATAACTTCAAAATCGCATAAAAATAATCTGCATAAAAAGAGACCTTACAGTATACAAACTCACATTAACATATATATATATATACAGGGTTCCTACTCAAATTTTTGTTTTGAATTCCCTGACTTTCCCTGATTTTCCCTGACCAACTTTGTCCAAATTCCCTGACCCTCACNATTGGTCATCTATATTCAGCAAACCAAATCAACAACGCAGTTAAGGAGACAAATTCCCTGACTGTTTGACAATTTTCGACAAATTCCCTGACTTTTTGATAATTTTTGACAAATTCCCTGACTTTCCCTGACTTTTTCAAAAAATAATGAAAATCCCTGACTTTCCCTGATTTTCCCTGACTTTCCAGGTGTGTAGGAACCCTGTATATATATTTTTACATGTGAAATAAATAAACAGTTTATTAGTAAAACAAAATTAAAAGTTTACAAAAAAAAGCTTTCAAGTTTGGCATAGGTGTGGTAAGAAAAAGTCATGGCTTTGACCATTATCAAGTTTAATGAATGTTTTGTCTATTGTTTATTTTTTTTATTAGTTCTTTAAAATGTCAACAAAATATCTAGAAATTCATAAATGTAAAAAAGAGTTTTGAATATTTAATGTTTTATGAAGGCTATCTGTGAAATAAAAAATTATATTACAAAAATGTAAATAATAATTTTAAAAATGTTAATCCTAATACAGACTATATTAAAACTTTTATTATGAAATTTATACAAAACACATGTAAACCACATAAAACCTAAAATTCTTTTAATACAATTTTTCACATCAGCTTTGAAAATGTTTATAAAATCAAAGATNTGGCTATGATTGGTCATCTATATTCAGCAAACCAAATCAACAACGCAGTTAAGGAGACAAATTCCCTGACTGTTTGACAATTTTCGACAAATTCCCTGACTTTTTGATAATTTTTGACAAATTCCCTGACTTTCCCTGACTTTTTCAAAAAATAATGAAAATCCCTGACTTTCCCTGATTTTCCCTGACTTTCCAGGTGTGTAGGAACCCTGTATATATATTTTTACATGTGAAATAAATAAACAGTTTATTAGTAAAACAAAATTAAAAGTTTACAAAAAAAAGCTTTCAAGTTTGGCATAGGTGTGGTAAGAAAAAGTCATGGCTTTGACCATTATCAAGTTTAATGAATGTTTTGTCTATTGTTTATTTTTTTTATTAGTTCTTTAAAATGTCAACAAAATATCTAGAAATTCATAAATGTAAAAAAGAGTTTTGAATATTTAATGTTTTATGAAGGCTATCTGTGAAATAAAAAATTATATTACAAAAATGTAAATAATAATTTTAAAAATGTTAATCCTAATACAGACTATATTAAAACTTTTATTATGAAATTTATACAAAACACATGTAAACCACATAAAACCTAAAATTCTTTTAATACAATTTTTCACATCAGCTTTGAAAATGTTTATAAAATCAAAGATAAAAAAATGATCTAATTCATCTTCATAGCTGATTTGTTTGATGCAATCAAAATGTTCAACTTCACCATAAACAAAATATATTTTTTTTAATAATTATCAATTTTTATCCAATGATGTTATGTATGCATAACAATACTTAAACTGTTTCAAAATTTTTGTAGATGTTAATAATTTACTATACAAAAATAAACTTTATGTAGCATGAGTGCAATTTGTAACAACTAGATGATGATGAAGATAAAATTTTAATTTTTAACATCTGAACTTTTTTATTTAGTAAATGACAAAATCAGTATGAACTTAATAATATAAAACCTTCAAAAGTAATTTAAATAACTATGTTCTTTAATGCAAATAATTTACTTGACTGACATATAATTTAATATTTAATGAAATTTCGGTAGATTCAAAATTATTTAGATAAACTGACTTTATCTGTCACTTTTTAAACATAACCTTTACTACGTAAAACAAAAGTTTATGTAAAATTAATTTTTATGCATTTTATGTATTATTAGTTTTTATTCATTTATTTTAAGCTTACTTGTAATAAATAAAAATATTAATAGAAAGATCAACTCTATAAAATACAGTTGCTTATGCAATTACTAATATTATAATATTTTACACAAATACAATATTTTTCTGCATAAGATATAAACAAACCAAGAGCCCAAACAATTGCAGTACACCTATCAGCAAACTTGTTTACTACCTCTAATTTTAAGGGTGAGAACAATAGGCATTCAGAGACCTAATCTATTGACTTTGCTATTAGTAGTAGTTTCTCTGTAAGAAATTCTGTCCCAGATATTTTTGACCAGTCCTCTCACACACACACCTAGTATGCTAATATTTTGAGAAATTATAAATTTAATGTATAATATATTACATATTATCTATAATTTCTATTCTGTAATAATTATAATTATATATTTCGTATTACAAATTAAATGAATTAAATAAATAAAAATATAATAGAAGTAAGATCTAACTATAATAAATAAATTTTTTCTTCTTCTGTCAAGTTAATTTTAAATATTAATGAATGAATAAAATAAATCCTAACTTTACTAACATAAGCAGTATCTTATTATAATAGCATTTTGTCATTGTGAAAGAGTTAATTCATCTGAAAATTTGCCTATTGTTTCTAAGCATCAGCATGATAAATAATATATTCTATGTATGTGTAAAATATTCAACATCAACAGCACACAATCAACATGCATTAATTGTTTTACTCAAATTTTATTTTGTATTTTATTCTTGAAAAAAAAAAAATATATATATATATATTTATTTATTTTTGCAATTTGCAATTTATATATATATAAATTGCAAATTGGACCAATCAAGTATTACTACTTACTTAAAATCATTTAATTAAATGTAATTGCAAATTACATCATCATTATTTGAAAATCAGAGTGAGATTTAATTTAGATAAATTTTTTCAGAATACTGCACACCATATACCATATGAAAGTAGAATCTATTACAATCCTTTCTACTTATATTCATAGATCTATTTAGTACATGTAAATCCCTACTTAGTGAATAAAAAAAAATGCTGAGTTGGGTATTAAAGAGATGATAATGAGGATAGGGATGCAAACTAATAGTATTGGGTTGTTTGGAAAGCAATTTCATTTTTTTCCGTGGCAAAACACAATATTTTTATAATAAATAAATATTTTATTGAATTATATATTGACCATCTTGGTCAAATACCTGTTGCCATTGTTTCTGTCAGTAGCATGATTTCACGTTTATAAAAGTTTTGATGTTTGCTTACAAAAAACTGATCCAAGTAATTTTTGATATTTTCATTTCAAGTAAATGTCTTACAGCTTAAAAACTTTCGTATAGACCAGAACAAGTAATAATCTATGGGTGCCTGATCTGGCAAATATGATTGATGTGATAGCACATCCCATCTAAGCTGTAACAGTTTCTGACGAGTTACCAAACTTGTGTGAAATTTGGCATTATCATGGTAAAATACTACACCTTTTTTGTTAATCAATTCTGGCCTTTTCTGCTTGATGATACTACTCAATTTGTCTACTTGATGGCAGTACACTTTTAAATCAATTGTTAAATTGTCTGGTAAAAGCTCCAAAAAAAAATTTCCTTAAAATCCCACAAAGAGAGCAACTCTCTTTAAGAATATGTGGAACCCATATATCAAGCTTTGAAACGAAACCAATTCGTTTCAAGTAATCATAAACGATTCAATTCGACAAATTTAATCTCTTAGTGATTTCATGTGTTGTTATTTGGCAGTTTGCTTCAATCAGTACCTTTATTTTGTTTTTGTTGGCTTCAACTGGCCATCCAGAATGTGGTGCATCTTCAATATTGAAATTGTGAGAACAAAATTTTGTAAACCAGTTTTGGCACTGTCTTTCTCTCAACACATCATCTCCATTCATGTATCACAATTTTTTTCTTGCTTGAACAGCATTTTGATTTTTTGGTAATAAAAAAGTAAAATATGCCAAAAATGCTGCTTTCGATCTTCCATATTTGATGGGACACGAAAAATAAACAATTGCACAGAATCAAACAAGATTTTTTACAAATAAGCCTTAGAATGCTAGCTGTAAAAATATATAATGTTAATACGGTTTAGAATAAAAATGGCGGGAAAAATATGAATAATACGTCTAATGGTTAAAAAAACGAACTTACTTTCCGAACAACCTAATATTTGTGGAATCATTAAGTTTAACAGAAAGATTTTACTGTGTATGTATATTATACAAGATTTAATTCTATTCCATGACAAAATAGCTTATTTAAAGTTAAAAGTGAAAAAGCAATTATACTTCATTATAAAAATTCATGCTTTAAAATTCTATAATTTCAAAATCATTAGTTTGTCTGTGTCTATTCACAAAGATATTTAAAAATTATAAATTAATTATATAAAATAAATTACATTAAATATTTTACTCACACAATTCACCAATGCTTTTACTGTTGCTAGTTCTCTGAGTAACTGCATATCATTTGGAACAGAAATATTAAATGTTTCATCTTTCAAACCTTGGTTTAGTTCTGTATCAGATTTTATCCATTTTAAACGCTTTTCTTTATTAGGAGGAAGATCTTTTAACAACAACTGATATTCAGATATAGATGAATGCAACTATATAAAAAAGCATTTATACATAATTTTAAAACATAATAAACAGAATACAATAGTTAAGAGTTTTGATTAATTAGAAACTTTTCCATCATCATATTCAGTTTTATTTTTGTACATTGCTATTTTATTAAAAATTATAAACATCTTAAACACAATATTTATATATTATAATCCAGCCACCATTTGGCTTTATTAAAAATTAACAAAAAATACTTAAATGTAATTAAAAATATGTAATAATACTATAATCATCATCATCAATAGCAACACACCTAATTCTTATAATTATATAGATAGGTAGTTTTTGGAACTGACTATGCAAATTGGAAAGTCAATTCCAGAAAATTCCTACAGTCATCAAGCATTAAAAAATCATTTTAAGTAGCAAGATGAAACATTCATGCAAGAGTTTTATGTAACACATTAAACAAAACAATAAATGATTATTTTTATTATACAGAGTGACAAATAATATATGTCAAAAAGTAAAGTGCTATACCTTTTTAATGAATAAACAGATTTTAATCAGACCAAAAGCATATTATACAGTATTAAGTTCATTTTAATGGTAGATATTTTCAAAATGCCCCCATCTGATTCAGCACAAAATTTAAGCCTTTTTCAAACCCCTGAAAAACCCTTTCTAGTAAATCACTTTTAATAGTCTTAACTTTTTTAATTGTAGTCTTTAATTGTTCTGCATTCTTTGACTTTTCCTTGTAACATTTGACATCTTCAATATAACTCCAGAGAAAAAAAATTCACAAGAGTTTAAGTCAGGACTGTAAGGAGGCCATTGAATCCCACTACCCACAAATTTTGGATAACTTAATCCTATAACACGATCTTGATACTTATTGAAAATACTTTCAAACACATCCTGGGTGTAGTGGGAAGTATCACCACCTTGCACAAAGTGATATTTCTGGAAAAAATAATTTTTCCTTGTCCAAGGTTAAATTTGGTCTCTGAGAAACATTTATATATGGGACCTGTGATTGGAATCTCAATGAAATTTAAGTACACAGCATTCAATGTAATTGCTGCTCATGCTGTGATCGTCACTGCATACAATGGTTTGAACACAGTGACTTTGGATTCAACATTCCCCAAATTCAAAAGTTTTGCTTATTAACATAGCCATCAGGATGAAAATGTGCTTTGTCCTCGAATATTATCTTATTGGCATCTAATGTCAGACTTGCAAACATTTCCATAATTTTATTAGCAAAGCTCACTCAAGTTGCCATTACACCATGGCTAAGTTTATGATGAATGTGTGAAGGTCCAAAACCCTTTTGTTTTAGAACAGTATCACCCCTCTAATAAACCTCGTGATTAGGCAAAAAGGGAAAAAGGGGTCTTCTGTGGTCAATGACCAAGACAATCTTCTCAAAAAAAATCGTTAGTATATCAATAAAAGAAATCTCCTCCATTTGTTTAACGGTAATTCTATAGATGTTAATATCAACAAGACGGGAATAAGAGATGTTTCCTATCCCCTCTTTGGTTGCACGTGACATATGGTTACAGCAATAAATTGCCTCGTTCGTAGTCAAACGCAACGTTTAATATAAACAATATCTAGATTGTTGATCAGTTTACAGAAATTGTCAGCTGAATGTTAATTTATGGATGAGAGCTGTCAAACCTATAGAAATTTATATTATAAAATCATATCTTCTAGACACTGATATCAATAAATTAAACAAACTTCTCTGTGCCAGTGGTCCGTACTAGCTAGATCCAGGCATCAACACACGAACAGGTGTGCGTATAAATCATTAATGATGTCATAGTTCTCACCTCAAAAATAGTATAAAGAGGACTTGGATGCATTCCACAAGGCGGACATCTCCAGGGCAGACATCGACTGCCACATCAACTGACCCATGCCGCCACCCTATCCGTCGCTACCTCGCCATAACTGCCATGATGATCCAGGAATGTTTTTATCAATGACCCATATTACGGATCAGGAACTTAGATGTATTGTTTTTAGATATCTATTTGTATACTCTTTCTCTGAGAACTCTCTCCTAGAGGTCTCTCTCTCGTCTCTTAATTTAATTTAGAGAATAGAGATTAGATGTTCCATATGAAAGACAAATCATTGTCACGACATAGAATAGAATTTTTGTAGCTCGTCATCTTCGATATGTACAATTTTATAGTTGTTCATTAAATGTGTTATTCTTGTTCAACCTGTGTATTTATTTGGGAACCTGTCAACTTACCCATTAACCTCCCCACTCATTTTATTTTGTCCTCCTATAAAGCCATCCTCTGACAGAGCCGCCGTTAAGTGGAGAAAACTAACCCCCTCGGTTCTCACAAATGGTAATTTTGTAAGCATGCATCTCAAGAAAATATTTCAGAATAATGCGGAGAGATTCCCTGTTGATTCCCAGTCTTTGTGCTGTCTTCCTGAAGAAATTGGCTTTGAAAAATTTTGAAATATCTTCCAGCCTTTCAAGAGTTGAAACTGAAATTTTGGGCCAGTGTTGTCATGGCAAAGATCATCTAGGGCAGGGGTGGCCAACTTTTGTGTACATAAGATCTACTTTTTATCTTAAAAATGTGTCGCGATCGACTCGTTGTCGTAGGCATAGTCTAAGTCAGGGATGGACATTCCGTGGCCCGAGTCACATAAAATGTGTATAAATATATCAATTTCGTAGCTTAAGAAGTATGCAGCAAAAATTCAAATGTTATTTTCTACAACTTATGTGAATAGTTTTTCCTGCAATGAATTTAGTAAAAATTAAAACGAGAAACTGGCTAACAGACTCACCTCGAAACTAATTTAAAACTAGCAGTGACTAATATTTAATCAAATATTTTTGATACATTACGTTTAAATCAGTTCTAGAAGCTAAATTAAGTATATCTATTCTATTTTATAATTATATATGAATAAATAATTGTGATTTACCGGCATTTCCCCCCTCTTTTATCTTGTATGTGGCCGGCGTTAGTTCAAAAGTTTTGAAATGTGGCCCTTACACAAAAAAACGTTGCCCATCCCTGGTCTAAGTGGCGAGGGGAAGGGAGGTGTGAAATACATACTAAGTTTAGATAGAAAAGAAAAGCCACAATTTAATTTAAAACACGAAGAAAAGGTACTTACATTTTAAACAAGAAAAATTGAAACTCAACGTTGTCACTTTCGGAGACCACCACTTCACCCTTCTTTTCTCTACCGTGTCCCGACCTACTCTCTCTATCCCTTCTTTTTTTCAATTTTACAACCCTTGGTCTACATTTCTTATTTCCCTTTTACAACTGTACGCAAATGGATTGCATATGGACCAACATAACTGCATCTGAGGGAGAACGAGGAGGTCTGATATCACTACAGTTGCGTTTGCGCGTTTCCTTCACACGTTGCGTTCGGTTACAATTTACAAAGTTTAATACATTAAGTCAAGACATCGCGAGCGATCAACCAAAATTGGTTTTGCGATCGACCATTCGATCGCAATCGACTTGTTGGCCACCCCTGATCTAGGGTACCATGTTCAAGAAATTTTTGAATCACCCTATAGGGTGATTCAAAAATTTCTTGAGATAGAGTGCAATAATTAACATAATAGAGTGTAATAATTAACATAATTACAATTATTTAAAAAGGTAACATTTTTTTTTTTGGAAGACCTTGTATATAGCCAAACAATTACTAGATTAAACTGGGCTATATTACTGCTACTAATTATTATTAATTACAAAGTAATTTGGCACTAGAAGCAGTTGTTACTACCCGGAGTTACGCGATTTTCAAATCTTGTTGATTCGTCTTTTGTTTGAGTGCCATGCAACTCTTAATTACTCACTCCCCCCACACTATTGTTCAGCTTACATGTTCGGACGTGTTGTGCCGAATCGACACATAGCTACAATCTATTTTGTGTTATTTATTTCTGTGTTTGTTATATCTACAGAGACTTGAGAGACTCTATGTGGTGATTTCTTGTAACCGTGAACGAATCAAAAGATGAGATAAGATTAATGAGAACATTTATTAGCTTACATACATCCGACTTGGATTTTACACAAATTGTGAAATTATACCCCGACTTACGTGAATTCGACTTACGCAGTCATCGCTCGGTCCCACCTATTGCGTAAATTCGGAGTATTACTGTAATTTATATAATGTTAACATGACACCAAATAAAATGTGATAACAAAAATCAGATGTCACTATAGCAACTCAGATATCTGAAATAATATTACAAGAATCAAGAAGGTGTTTTCTCATATTTATCACTTATTCCACAAAAAAGAACACTCAGTGTCACACAAAACATTAATTATTTTACTGTTTAAGTTTATTGAAAATTTATTTAATCTAAATTGTGCAGCAAATGAATATTTTGTAACTCAAATTTGATAATAAATATAATGGAGTCCACATTCCATTAAGAAAAGTTCCAGAGTCCAACTCCTTTCACTCAAATAATGAACATCTTGTGACCAATATAAGTCTCAGTTATTGATGGCAATCCAGAAGAAACAAACTTTTATTTGAAAAATATGTATAGATAGAGAAGGGTAGTCCATTATTATTTAATAGTCCTTTAATTATAAAAGGCAATGGCTTCAAAAAAGAATTATTATTAATCCACAAAAGTTTTGTATATATCAATTTTCAATAATTGTCTTATAGTAATTCAATAAGTTTCCTCCAAAACTGAAACAAATTTTTCTATGTTGAACAAATTTATCAATAAATGAATAGCAAGGGGAGATCTTTCCAATTCCATTCTCAGTACAAGTCCTTTAACAGATCTATTAATATGGAATACTTGCTTAAAATAGAACAACTGTAGTCCCTCAAATCTGTCTGCTAAGAGATCATCCAAAACTGGAAAAGCATTAAAAAAACACTTTGTCCAATCAAGGAATTGAAATAATCTAAAATTATTATTTAATGAAGATGCTTTTAAGTAATTTGATAAGATTAGAGATTTTAGCTTGAGTCAAGTAAACTTTTAAAA